GTGGGAGAAATGATTTAAAAGTATCTCCGACATTTTGTTTATTTCACCTGACAAATAAAATGAACTGTCGATTTCGGATAACATTCTACGCAGGGCAAATAAATCACAGTTTTTGTAATCATAAATAAGTTTGCTCACTTTTTGTTTACTTTTTGATTGTAAGTTGAATTTTGCCTCTAGCAAAAAATGTGGTGATTTTCCTAATTCAGGAAAGACTTTAGTGCTAGGCTGCTCCCACTCATTAGAATAAAAAACATTATCGATTTTCGTATTTTTATGAGTGGTTGATACACTGAAAGCACGTCGAATCGAAAACAATTCTAGTATTTGTTGTAGTCCACCAGGTGGTGCGGCTGTATTTACATTAAAATCGCCCACTAAAATAAGTGGAACATCTTTTTTTGCATTTTGAAGTAGAAAGTCTGAGAGGTGATCGTAATAAATTTTTCTAGACTTCGGGCGGCGATAGAGATTACATAACAAAAACGTACATGCAGAAACCTGAACTTCTAATAACATAGCCATTGCTTCATTGGAGCATGCAATCAAAGAGTGGTTAATATCATGCCTCACATATGTCACAATTCCTTGAGATTTACGAGAAAAATCATTTCGATAATGCAAAAAGCCCGGTATACTTAATTCCTGATCAGAAATGGAGCTATCTGTAAAACTCTCTTGAATACAAATAATACAAGGATTTCCTTCTATAGAAAAGGCTTTCAACTCATCGACGTACTTCGGCAAGCTCTGAATATTATGAGAAATAATAGAAAGGATGTTATCAAACTTAGGAGAAGAGACAGAAGCAGAGGAACTAAAGTCACACATATCAGGTGAGACCCCCAGGCGTGCATGATCTCGTCATAAGTGAAAAAAATAGGAAAAAGTTTGATACATTAAATTACAGCCAAGATAATTCGGATGTAAACCATCCAATAACATACCTCGCTCAAAGTTTATTCTAATTAATTCAACATTTTGTTCTTGACATATTTGTTTTAACTGTTTATTATAACTGGCGATTTTATCAAAGCCACCTTGATTCAATTTACACGAACGGAAAGGTACCGTTGTCATACAAATATTTATATTTGAATTAATAGATTTCGTAGTTTTTATTAATGTTTCTGCTTCTCGTATACATTCATTAACATCATGATCACTGATAGAATTTGTCCCACAAACAAAAATGACTGTATTTGATTCTTTCAGTAAGTGTTCATATTTTGTTTTTACTTTATCATTTAATTTACTTAATTTTTCTCCGCCATGCGTTTTAATTTTAACAAGATGTTTTTTGTCGGATATGATTTTAGGATCTAAATCACGAAGTAAACTATCTCCTAATATACAAATTGTTTTTCTTTTGTTTTCAGTTGGAATTATTGTTGTTGTGGATTCATTTACGCGTGAAATATTATCTGATAAATCATTTTTCATACGTTGAGGTGTAGATGACAGAGGAGAACTGGTAGTAGAAGAACGTTGATTCAAATGAAAAGATGAGTCTAAATGCTCAGAAACGAAGGTAGGAGCAAAAGGATCTAGGTTTTTTGTTTGTTTTTCTTCTTTTGCGGACGATGTAAGAAACGATAACAAAATTGCGTTCTGAGCAAGGATTTGATCATTTTGAGTCAAGATCCGATTCATCAAATTGATTTTCTCACTCAATAAACGGTTGCTATTTTCATTGTTATCAACAACAATAAATTTAACAACAATAATTTAACAACAATAATTCGACCATTTCGTTTTTCTTAAATGAATTAGGCACACGTATATTCAAAGCTTTCAATTTATTTGTTAATGTGGGCTTCAATTTTACACATGGGACTTTCAGCTAGGCAAGTTAAATTAACGTTTATTAGTACTAATTAGTCAATAACCGTAAGAAAAGAACAAAAATTTTTACATATTGTCTCGTCGTAAATATTCTCCACACATTTCTCTATCGATCTAGGCAAGAACCAAACTTTTGTGATGAATGGAGGATGGACACGAATTTTTTTAATAATAACAACATTTTTCTAAGTAATTAACTTTTGTCTCAGCCAGACAACGTCAGTAAGCCGAAAAAACTTCAGGACATATACTTCGAAGTGTCCTCTACAAACTGGGAATGCTAGACAAAAATCTAAATGGAGGGACCCACCCTTAACCGGATTTTCAGGTTGTTTTCACCTTATACTAAAAAATGCATAATTCAGCCAATAAACATCAAAACGAGTTCAAAACTTCGGAATGTTGCTACTTTTGCGTTTAACGCGATTATAAGATCGAAAAGATGGAAAACTATAGTGCTGTTAATGAGTTTTCCAAAAACTCTTTCAGAAAACATTAGAGTTTTGTAAAATCTCTTTCTAGATCTTCTACAAATAGGATCTGAAAGAGGATAAATACTATATATTAGTTTAGTTTAATCTATATTTATTAGTTAACTGAAATAAGCATCACAGATAGTTAGGAATCGCAAAGCATTGTATCTGGCTATCTGTAGAAAGGCAACATAGACAAATAGGGTAACAACCAAAAATAAAAACTATTATTTAAAACAAAACGAAGGGAAAGTTCGGAAAACTCTATATTCCGAAGTGTGAATTCGTTCTGATGTTTATCGTTTGTTTCCAAGCCTCTTCTTTCGCATGGTGAAAAGCGGAGGTAGCTAGCTCTTTCTATTTGCGTGTTGTTCGAAAAATGATTATCCCTGTTATTTTATTTCACAGAGAGTATAATCAGAATGAAATTTTAGTGGAAGAAATATGTCACAGATGAACTGATGACAGTATACCGATCGGTGTTATAATTCATACAGGTACCGGTGGCACCTCGAGATGTACTCGTTAAATATCAAGGTTTTATTCGCTTCGGAATAAGCAAAATCAAGAAACAATTTCCGGAAAAACAATTTAAGATTTCATCGGTTTGACGGTTGATAAATCTTCAACAACGGCCAAACTCATCACGGGTTTGTACGCATGATCTTCGCGGTTGACACCATGAAATCCACCGATGACCGAGCACATTTTTTCAGTACCAGTACTTTCATTCACTACCTTCACCGGGACTTTGATTGAATTCAACTCAATATCGTGATAGTCACATCTGTTCTGTGAGCAAACACTGTAGAAAAGCCTTAATATCCAGCCGCTAATGTATGTACAAGCACCACTACCATGAGTTGATTTGATATCTAAAATACCGGGCGAATGAGCAGTGATTAGATGAAAAGCGTGTTGTTTATAGACTTGGATGAGTCCAAGTCTGGGTTAACAATTTCTTCTAGAAGAGTTGAACTTGCCCTTTTCGTTTCGAGACCATCGAAGATGAAGTGGAAGAATTAATACAACAGACTTAGTTTTCTCTTTCTCCCTTGTATGTTGTGCCATTCTGAAGGAAATGCGGAAATTTTTTTCGAGGCAAACTCAGATTGACAAATATTGGACCCACTCATCCTTAGTCGGCTGTCTGTCTTTTCTTTTTCTTCGCGCAAGTATGATTTACATTAGAAAACGATTCTGGAACGAGGACAAGAAACGTGGTGCTGGAAGGCATCAAGGATATGTTAACTGATGTAAATACACAAAGCTCACCGACGAGCTTTCTACATCCAGCAACTGTAAACTGGATGAGGAGCTAGAAACAGAGAACTGACAAAAATTGTCTTGAATTTGATTCATCCATCCCTAGCTAGCGGTACATTACCCATAATCCTATTCCACCAGGCCACATCAACATTGTTCTGGTACGTGTTGATAAAACCAGTAAGGACAGGAACCAATCCATCAATGTACTTGTAAAATTCACCTTCCGAATATGCCTTCATTTGTTCTGTTTTGTTTTTCAGCATCTTCCAGTCGTCGAGTGTGCCCATGAATTTGACGTTTCGAATACCACACATTGTCATAACTCTTGTGTATTCGAAATAGGACTGAAACGTGTCCATAATACACGCATTTGATAATATTGCCTCGACCTTACCTGTAGTCGAATAGTTCGCAGTTAACACAGAGACAATATCCCCTTTCACATTTTGTTCAATTTCTTGTTTCATCGCACCAAAGAAGTCGGTCCAATCTCTCTCATCTTTGCCAGGTGGCTCAAAAACAGTCAGTTCCTTTTTTCCCTGGTGATCGACAAATATGTGTCGAAGTTTCTCGGCGTTTGCATTGACATATTGAGCGTAGCTGATGCAGATCACCAACTGTAGAGAAAAGGCGTATTACACCTCCGGAGAATAGTAGGCAGATATTACTTACCCAAATGTCATCAGGACACAAAATTAAATCTTCGTGATTATTGTAAGCGTTGACGAACGCTTGCAAAACGGGATTTGACGGTGCATTAGTGTAAGGTCCATTTGTGACTGTGTACTGAAGGTTCAAAGTCGATTTTTCTGCAGATTGCTTTTGGAGACGTCCACCCCCATCACATTTTTTCAACCACCTTTTTCCTACATCAGCATCTGATAGTGGTGTCTCGTTTTCATGCTTATAACGATCTTTTAACGGTTCATGGTTATTGATTCTAACAACAGTATACATATTGGAAGATCGATGTCTAAAAAACAGATGCAAGTCAGTTCTCACTGACAAAGACCTATGTAATCATTTCCTCTTACGACACGTTAGTGCTAAAAGAAGAAAGAGAAAGATTTACTTACATGTTAGCGATGTAATTCGTATTGTTTCGCAAAACGCGCTTTTTTATATGCAATAAATAGTTTATATATATCGTTTTTTCTTTTCTTCATGTGTCAGATAAAAAATTTCCTTCGCAACAAAAATGTTGTGCAATACAGTGGAGTCATCCACTGTTCCTTTTACATACCTCTTTTTGTTACTTTCTGTTTGCACACCTGACGGTATGGATGATAACACTCAATCAATATTAATTTTGAGGCAATCATTCGACATATAAACGAACGACACTTAATAGTATAAGACACTTGACATCCATCTTTCCTCCAGCGTGTAATGTGAAGAGCGTAATGGAAGACCCTACTATTCAATTCTTTTTCTGTTTTCATCGATTTTCTCCCCAAAACTAAAACCTATCGTCCGTAACGTTGTGCAGGATTTATTTCTGACCAAAATAATATGCAGTCGGCGTTTTCACAGATTCCAGCATGTAAATAAAGTGAAAGCCAGTTAATTTAGCATTCTTAAAAGTGATATTTTGTAGAGCCATTTTATTATTGTACACTGACAGTAAAACTAATTCTATATTAGAGAATAGTTCAATGCTTTTGAGATCACGATGTGTAGATGAATCGCAACAATATTACAAATCTGTTATTAAATCTGAAAGTAAATAAACATTGAATTAGAGTGCGCAGTGTACGAAAAAGTAAAAATAAACAGACAAAAAGAGTTGGTTCTTAATACAATCTGAAACAGAGTAAGGAAGAGAGTATTTTTAATCACAACCACTAGACAAATTGTACTAAAACTACCTATGGCGAAGCTTATAACATTATTAAAATATGCAGACGCATACGCTCCATACTGTGACGGCACAGACATGTAAACACTGAGTTTCTAAAGATAAATCTACTATAGAGAAGCATTCTTTTCTCTTACCTCTTTATAGCGATCTAGAGATCGAAACTGATTGGGTCGATCCGAGACCTGGGTTCGGGTCGGGTCAGAGAAGATAGAAATTTCGGATTTTTTTTCGGGTCATATTGCAACAAAACAAAAGATCTTTTATAAATCGAAATATAGGATCTTTTCCAGCTTCTCCTAAAATTGTTAGTAAAATTTTTATAGCTTAGTCGAAACCTGTTAAATTCTTATCGTATCGACATGCATAAGTCAAATTTTGAAAAACTTTTCGACAAGTCGGATCGGGTTCAAACTAGACACTTGTAACCAGATTTGATCTCCGTTGCGGTCTCTAATGCGATATTCTGATATTTCATATTATTCAACGTATCTCTTTTATTTTTCATAGGACAGACATGAACAACGTAATTTAAGCCTTTGCTATTGTTTTGTCGAGAATGAAAACGAATGCCGCAAGAAAATGAAAGAAAAATTTCACCGCTTTTCAGGCAGGCACATTTTGTATAAAAGGAAGGAAGGAAAATCCTTTTGATTCACAGTATCCATCACATGCCTCTATGGACTGCATGTACAGGGTACTTACGTGAGCATAAATTGGTCTCGGGTGAATACACAATGTATTTTCCATTCGATAAACAAAAGCATATGCAACGACGCAATTTTTCGACAAAAAAATTTCTTGCGTGTTTCTTGTTTTTGTCCTGCAAGAAAATTTTTCTTGCTGTAGCACAAACTTTCGACAAGAACAAGCAAGAAAATTACAAAATGAAATACCCCTAATAGTCCATGGATTTCTGGGAAACGCGTTAATTAGCGAGAAAAACGCTAGTTTTTGTTAATTAGCATTTATCAGTGTGAAGAAAGCACCTGGTAAAGTTGGTTTTGCTATCGAAAATGTTAGAAATTAAATTTCACACATTTTGTCTAATAGCACCAACTTCGTACGATGTGATCTTCAATGAGCGGTCGTTGGATTTGTTTTAATTCATGGTTTTTCTTTGATTAAAGGTAATTAGAACAAAGAAAAACAGGAGTTCGATCGATAAACAACACCGTATATATTTCTACTTTTTTTGTGTCTTTTTATCTAACAAAGAATAGAACAAACAATTCCTGGTAGTTTTTATAATTCTCGAGGGCAAAAGACTTATCGTTTATCACTAGTTGTTGCTGGATTTTACTGAGCTTACAAAAACCGTATTCTTGCTGAAAGAAATGACTGTTTTTGCAGATAATCAACAAAATAGGTTTTTTTCTTGCAACAGCTTAGTTTCTTGCTTCAAGAAACAAACACCCAAGAAAATTTACATGTCAATTCGTGTCCCAGGAAATGTCCAAGAGCTTGTTTGGCTTCAAGAACTTCCACTAAGACTAGTACATGGACAAACATTTGAGGGAGACATGCACTTCATCTACATAAATCATACACTCCAAGTACATGCTTTATTCACTACAAGTGAATAAACTGTGAATGGCAAAATTTTCTTTTTTACAGTGCCGTACATTGCTGCGACAGGAAGAACAGATTTTATCTTTTTTTTCTCAATCTAGTTTATTATTTAATAACGGTTCTATTAGCTAGCTGTTCATTACAGGTACTTTGTATAAAAAATCTTTCACATCTAACGAATTCTTACCAAAAAAATAAGATTTTTTTCTAAAATTTGATTACTAAAATTGTCGATCCTAAAAATGTCGAGTGAGTTTTATATCCAAATTTTTATTTCTGCATACGGTATAGATCCAAGGTCTCTTCGTTTTCAGATGTAAGACTTCGAAAAGATTCGAGATATAGGTAATCGACCAAACTTTGATCAATTTCTGACGTAAAAAGAGTGAGATATATCTGTTTCGAGTTTAGGAGTCCGTAGACAAATACTCGGTTTTTCAGAGAAATAACTCTAGCGAACTCTGTTCAATTTTTGTAGAAAAACTAACATTGACTCGATATTCAGGGTACTCGATTACCTATTTCTCAAGTCTTTTCGAAGTCTCCAGACTTGCGCAGATCGAGATAGCATCGTCGTTGGAGAACCTTTCTGTCTTCGCAACCTCGAAAGATACAGATCTGAGTCACATTTAGAACAGAAGATCTCGGTCTGGTGCAACTACCTTACGCCTCACAATTCAAAAGCCGAAAGTTTTCAGTGATCAGTAACCTTCTGCAAAATGTCCTGAAGAGGCTTACCACATGCAGGTGGTATCTTTGCTGGTGTTGTTCCGTCGGCATATGACCCCATCAATTTACTTCCCAATAGTGGAAGTCGCAGCTCTCTAGCGTTTTGTTATCAAAAGTTATTAGACAAACAATGGACTGCCTTATATTTTGAAAGGATAGTAGTAAGTTTGCTGTTCGGCGCTGGTGATCCAAGACTAAGACATAAGCGACTTAGTTAAGGTTACTATTTGATGTGTGAACACGTAGGTTAGAATACACAACTTTCCAAGTACGCGACGAACAATATAACTATGCTGAATTGAACAAAACTGAATATTTCTTTTTTTGCTAGGCGAATCGTTTGCTGTTGTATATTTTGACATTAATAATTGCTGGTAGCGCTACTGCATTAGAACCATTATTAGCACTAAAATTCGGTCATCATCTATTTCTTCATATAACATACGCTGTTATATTTGGCTTTTCTACTGGGGAATATATTGGAATCACATCTGTCGTTGCGGTAGATCTGGTTGGCTTAGAAAAGTTCTCCGATGCATTTGGTCTAGTATTAGTAGTTCAAGGTGTGGCGATAGCTTTCGGTCTACCTATCGTTGGTATGTTTTGCCAAGATAAATTGCTCATATTTGATAATAGAGTGTTCTCTTCCACTTATCTCTAGGTGTTCTAAATGATGAACTTGGCTCCTATCTTATTCCATATGTAATAGTTGGTGTTGTCATCACACTGAGTGGTGTAGTGCTATTCTTAATTCCATTAATAAAACGATGGCAGCAATCATCAGCAACAACAAATAAATCATTAACAACATCACATGAGATTGATGATATGAATACGACATCAGTGAATCTGACATAATTTTTAGAATTTTATCGATCTGTATATATTTTAAAAAATTCCATTTTTATCGCATGTTTGCCGTGATATGTACATGAGAGAAACGTAACTTTCTATTAAAATCACTTGTTTACATATGTTTCTATAATAACTCAGGTTACAAGAGGCTCGCTTGAGCAAATTTTTTCCTTGCTTTGCCTAGTACTTTGCCCACTTCTACAAACATTTTCTACTCGATACGTCCTTTCGTTGCAAAGTTATGGGACTCGACAGTTGAAAAAACTTAATTTTCTGATGACTTATCATCTGAAAAGTGAATTTTTGATTATATAAAAAGATATAAAAAGAAAAGGAAAGCAGCGCATCCTGTAGAGAATTGAATTGTGAATCTAACCATATGATTGTGTTCAACTTTGTTTACTTTTTTTGTTGTTCTTTAGATATATTCATTTTATAAGCATCTTTTCCGTTTCTTGTAGACCGACCTTCTCTTACAGTTTTTCCCAAAAATCCGCCACTGAAGAAATTTTTGGAGTGGCTAAATTGTAGATCAGACGTCGGTCTACAACTCTATTTTTAAAAATATCCAGTTTGCATGATTTGGTAGAGATAAAAATAGCTTTCATTCTTGCGGAAGTCAATTTCCGCTCTAAATCTAGACTGACTTTTTGCAACTTGTTTTCTCAGAACTAATGAAGTATGCATTCGTGCTCAATGAAACTTCTACACTAGATAGAGCATCAAAAGTTGTACTAGCAAAAGTAATTTCAGATCGAATCTTCATTTTGTTCCTTACTATTTTTACATTATAGGGGTAAATGTAGACCGATTTTTGTTTTTAACTAAATGTAGACCAACCTTTTTTCGTGAGATTTTTGGTCAAAGCTAAACGAAAACCATCAATACCGTACACCAGTCGACCCCTCAGACTGCGGCGAGTTTGACTACCTAATTTTTGGAGCTCTAAAATCTATAGTCTTAGGATAATTCTGCTAAATGTCTGGCAGTTGGAAAATTTTTATAGAATACTCGGTAAAGACAGGGGAACAAACCGTACCATTCAAATTTTTTTATCGATTGTACCAGAAAGTTATGTTTCTCTCACATATATATCTAAGTTTTATTCGCATTACCTTAATACGATATTTTTATATTCGCATACTAAAGAGCCGGATTTTATTTATACTAGAGATAAGAAGCAAAAAGTTCCATATTGAACAAATTGAACTTTTTTGAGATTGTGTTAATCTTTTATTTATTTTTATTGTATAAACTACTTCCTTCGAATGCAGAATAAAAGAAAGTTAATCAACAATTACTTTCGATTCGACTTTTGAACGAAACAATTAACGTATTTTGCCTTAATGAATGCAGTTGTATTGTTTTCTAATCACAGACATATTTTACTAATCGAGGTACGATTTCAGATTTACCTATTCTATATTAGATATGGTATATGCTTTTGTTTCTATTAAAACAGTAAGACAACAAGAATGAAAGCAAACTTTATTCAGGATAACAGCCTGTTCGAAAACCAACGTAGTATTTTATGATGTAACCAAAACTCTAACCTTTGTCTGGAAACTTTTTTTCCAATTTTGCTCTAGACAAAAAAGAAATCTTTTTCCAGGATCGCGGTCAGACAATCATTATCGTTAAATTTTGCCATAAGAAAGGATGGTCATGTAAGTGAACCATTTTATTCAGATAGATTTGACGTTTATAATAAACGTCTGGATCTATCTGATATGATATACGCTCAAGGAGGACACTATCGAAGGGTTTTGTAACTTTTTTCCTACTCTTGAGAACGAGTTTATAATGCCAGGACTAATCTGTATATCTGGATATAAGTTAAATGAAAGAAGAAAAAGAAGGAGAAAAAAATCATGTAGTGACAGTATTTATTGGATATGTAGGTATACCATCCCCCTGTGGTGGTATCTAATCTGTCGAGATGCTGATGTACTGAAAGAGAAACGATTTTGTTCGTTGCGAGATTTTGGTTTTCCAGAGCCCCTGGTTTAAAGAGCTATGATAAAATCCTCTTAAACAACACAGCAAATTCCAAATTCTATCAGCTGTTCAAATTTTTTTCAAATTTGTTCTAGCTTGTACGGTCCAGGAGAAAAATCAAAAATAAAGGTGGCGAGCAATTTTTGGAGCCATTCCACGTTAAAGCGGCGTAGTATTTAAAATCCCAGACATGGCTGTCAGGCTTCGTTAAGTTTCCAATTAACATATCTTGCAGAGGTTTTCAAGACGCATGGAATGATATATGAATGATTAGAGATCATCTTTAGTTTCATAGAGAAAAGTGACCGACAGTTCGAGTAGCATTGCGGCAACCTATGAAAAAATCTAGTATTTGATTCATAACGGCCGCTGCCAAGCTTCGTTAAGTTTCCTATTAACACATGTTGTAGAGCTTTTCATGGCGCATCGAATGATGTATTACGCTAGGCTTAATATAGTATGGTTACTGAGAAATGTTGATTTTACAGTCATACTGTTGGTGCTAAACTGTTGCTTGGTTTTAAGTAGATTCTGCCAGGTATATTCGACTGAAAGCGTTCGGAAGGGTCGAAATCATCTGAATATGATTCCGAATATGATAGTCGGATGTGATTCTGATGAGGCTGGACCGATTAGAGAGATTATTGTTAGTGGGCGATTTCCGTTAATATGCGGACTTCACCTTTCACTATCGTTTTTCTCTTTAGATGAGCAAAAAAAGCTGTTTTGTTTCAAATAGGAATGCTCCAAATCGAACCTATGCTCATGGAACTCGGTTCGAACTCGGATCCCTTTTCTTCGAACCGTGTTTGGTGCGGAACAGGTTCGATGAATTTTAAAGAAGGGGTTTTAGTTAGTAGTTGAAGGAAATATTTCGGTGAGTAGATCTAGCAATAGCACAAATAATAAATATATTCATCTAATTTTTAACGATTCTAGTCGAGTTTCTAGGCTAGAAATGTCAAAAAGAAATCTACGGTTTTACTCTGGAAATGAAGTGTTGTACGACTATGGCTCTACGGAACGAAAATGAGAGGAAATTATTAATACTTAATATTTCTAGAAAAAATCAAGGGGGAAAAAGCGGAGCCGGGTTTTCGTATGGATCCGCGAAAAAGGACTATTTTATACTGAAAAGGCAAAGCATGTCTTTTCTTCTTGAAAGAACCGACATGCATATAGAAACATTTTAAAGTAGACAAAGAATGTCTGCGAAATACAAGCAAAACATATGCCGACGGTTTTAAGTAGACAAACTACTACACAATAAAATAGGTTAAAGTGTACTCACAGAGTTCAATTTTAAATAATGAGACCAAATTGACTTCTGTGGGTCCTACTTTACTTTTGTTACTACCTGCTCCCGTTTTTATACTTTCAGAAATGATTGCATCAGTGGATCCGATTGTATCCGCGTGGATCCCGGAACCGCCTTTTCCCCCTTGGCAAAAATTCTGTATTTCCACTGTAACTTCGAACCCTGTCCGAAACCGAACCATATTCGAAAAAACAAAGATCCGAGTTCGAGCCGGGGTCGTTAGAACAGAGAATCGGATCCGAATAATGCTAAAAAGTTGTACTACAATAAGCAGCAACAAGAGAAAAATCAGAAGGCTTTGTCTGAGTTGCACATATCGTACGTCTAATACTTGATCTATTGCTAAATAATGTTGTTGCACCAATATTATTATTAGTAAATTCAATTTCTTTCGCAGTTCTCACTAATGATCCACCACCGATATCGTCGGTAATTGGTATATTCTGACCTAATATTTGATTTCTAATGTTAATTCTGAACACTCTTACAACTGAGTATTCTGCAGTTCGTTTTCTAAGTTTTTCTGATTTGCTTAGCCGCCCATTCGAACAGATCATTAGCCATTTACTATCATGGGTACATAAACAATTTCTCCACTATAACGTCTTTTGTTAACACTACCGAATGTCATTTTAAGCGATGATTTATTATCTCTGTGAAATACTGAATGCAGTTTTCATAGAGAATATTAAGAGACAATTCGCAAGTGCATCGAGAAACGCTGTGATATGGTCAAACTAATAGATCATTCAATTCCTCATTCGAAGCTAAATGTCTAAACGTTTCTTCACCGAGAAATCAGATTTTAATAATTGAATGAGGGTCATATATCCCTGTCTCGAAGTGAGAAAAATCGAAACTGTACTAGATAGCTGTACTCAAATTTATCCCAAAGCAAAGGAGTATTATGTAAAACTCTCTTTTTGATTACATGGACCGGCTGTAAAAGTCATTGGTGTCTCTACTATGAACGAATTTCGTTTTAGAAAAACTTTAAGGAATAAATAGACGCCCTTATAGAAAATGGTGCGCTGAGGTTGCTGAAAAAACTTCTAAAACTTTTAGCTTTAATTGGAAACGGTAAAGCAATATGGCAGGTGACAGAGATTTCCAAGTGCTACCAAGGCCCGTATTTGCTTTTGAGAATGTTGCATATAAGTTATTGTACTTGGTTTTAGGCAAACGGAGTTTCTTTTTATTGATTCTCGAATACCCCGAGAACGAAGGGAGATAGATGACTCGGATTTCCAGCATTTTGTAGAGAAGTGCAATCGAGAGCAAGGTTTTCAAAACTTACTTTTTATGCTTAACTAACTGCTGAGAGAAAAATAGCAGAAAGTTCCCACTAAAAGCTTTTTCGACTCGAACCCTACCCGACTCAAATCATTATTTTATGCGTTTTTGAGTGGAGTTTTTCCTTTTATGAGTGGAAAGGTTTGGATAATTCAGGCAGTTTATTTTGTGTTGACCTGAGTTAGATTAAAACGAGTCAACCAAAAGTGACCCGAACCCGATCCGAATCAATATGTTCTACGTCGGCCCGAACCCAACCCGATCGGACTCAATCCGACCCGCGGATCAACCCGACCGATTTTGGTCTGTGCTGGCTACGCCACTAGTTACTACATCATTCTATTACGATTCCACAGAACAAAGTTCACGAGAGAGAGAGGCAACATTGAAGTCA